TGTATCGGCAGGGCTCGTCAACCTCCATGGTGTTCGCATGATGCCGGTCACTCCGACACAATATAATGATGGAAAAAAATCTCTTTAAGCGAATTCAGCGATGACATGAACTAAACCCATCGAGCGAGGATTCTGGGTCTATTTTATGCATTTATGTATATCGAAATATATACCAAGGGGTCATTGGTACTTTTATTTGCTCTTAAAGATTTCACTAATATAGCATTTTAAGACTCTAAAGTAAAGCGCTTACAATGAAAGTCCAAAAATCGATTACATCATTATACTTACCAATGTGTTCAGCCAACAGACACATGCAAGAAGCAAGAATAAAGACTAAAATCTAACCCTAGGCTATTGCTAAACAAGTGATTTAAGCGATCTTTATATGAAAGAAAAACAGAATTAAATATGCATCTATGGAAAACTCAAAATATTAAGAGATGGCTTATGGGGCAAACAAGAGCTATTGTTGTCTAGGCATTGAAATTGTTATTATATGATCCATACATCAATTTATAAGCAAGCGAATTCAAGGGTTAAGCCAGCGTTCCTCTGTGCTGCTTTCCAACGCTCCATAGAACAACTTTATATTGGGTATGAACACATTTCTAGCCGTTCTGCTGGTTCTTGCAATTATTGTCTCCAAAGGCTTTTCTTGTTATCAAGGTGGAGCATATCCTTATTACCCCTACCCTTCGTACCCCTACTCTCCGTACCCCTACTATGGCTATAACTATGGCTATGGGATGCCATGGGGAATGGGCGGTATGGGAATGGGTGAGTTATATTTCGGAAAATTAGAAGATGTAAAAGAAGTAAATATATTATTTATTTGCTCTAGTACATAGTACTATTCAGATCCCGCGACTGCAGCTATCATGGGAGCTGTTTCAGGTGCACTCGCCGGACTGAATTAATGGCTCATAGCCTAATAAAGGCTATCATGCTTGATAGTGACAATGTCGATCGGATGAGACTCAAAAGCAATAAAATTTCTCAAAAATTTTCTAAATGGACTGATCATTCGAGCGCAATTAAAAAAAGACAACAAAGTTTCAAAAAACACGAGAAATGAAATCAACATTAAATTGAAAAATGTATGTTAACGGGGAAACCGCTTACCTGATTTTATATAAACCTTCACTCGTTCGTCAAACACCAACAAATGTTCGTTATTGCCGTAATTTGAAAATTGCTCTAAATTCTTATATCAGCATAGCCCACGCTCCCTTCCTGTTTCGATAAATCGATGACTCCTGCTTAAATTCATCTGAAAAGATCTAATACGGGGTTCAAAAAATTAGATATTTGGTTAGTTCATTTGTATTTTCCAAATATTAAATAGTTGACACCATGCGGAAGTTCATAAAAGCGGATTGCTCGACAAAGATAACCAGTTGCCGTCTTATTATAGTCCGTATATTTTTAGTTTCTTTTTGAATTTTTAAAATCGCATTTTGTTCTTGTAAAGCGTTACTATTATACAGCCACTAAGCGTTACTACTATAAAATGTAATCTGTGGTGATGCTGACATACATCCTCTCGCCCATTAGCAATTTTTAGCTGGATGTAGGGAACTAGACATCTAAAAACTTCTTCAACATCTTACTTACCATTTTCCGAAAATTTTAATATTCATCTATTTAGAAAAAAATTTATGCTGCATGTAGGCAATGCTATTCAGATAACCATGCTCGTTTATTGTAATAAACGAAATGCTCACAGAACCCAACACATATCATAGTAATTTATTTTTTCTCCAGGTCCGTTAATATATCCCTATGTCCGCAATATACTTTTTTTTTTACATGTCCGCAATATAGTGAAAGAAAAATAAAAAAAAGGTAAAACGAAGAGCGTAGGCTTCTTTCTTCAAAAAAATAATAACAGAAGATTTCGACGTCGAATCATCTTAGAAAAGTCATGGAGGGTGCTCAGTTTCGTGGAAAGGGTTTCAAACTGTCGCCATCGTTCCTTGTCATATCAATCAATCTAAGAGAAAGATATGCCTGATGTAGGC